TTCATCACCTCTCGTCAAGCCACTGGAGGAGTGACTGGTGCAGGGGTGCAGGCTGGCACGAGCCACACTGACCAGCAGGCTTTTGATTTTGGTGCTGGTTTCCAAGAAGTTTCATCCTTGCAGCATCCTGGGCCATCATGAGATGCTGGTGTGCCACCAATCATGGTGGGATCCTCCTGCCTCCAAAGGCAGCTTCTCGCTGGGTGACAGCGGGCCAGTGTTGCTTTCCAAAGCCTCTTCCCAGCAGAGTGTCCCTCACCCAGGGAGAGCTGTGGAAAGATTTTTCCCACTGTCAGTTTGTCGTCCCTTTCCTTGCATCTTTTGATTTCCACTTTTTGTTTCCCTGCAGTTTATGTGCATCCCTTTTCGCTGCTGCCTCTCATGCCTTTACTCCCTGCTTGCTCCATGCAATGCTCTCAGGCACAGGTTGTATTTCTTCTTCAGCCTGGCCATCCTACAGGAAAGCCTTTGAGATCTGGGGCTTGAAAGATGAGGAAGGGAGCGTCTGTCCTCAGACCCGCCCATTCGCACTGCATCTACAACATGTCTTGGTGTCTCCTGGCAGCTCCTGGGCTACTGCAAATGCCCTGGTCATCCTCCAGCTCTGGGACAGTAGGTCACCTTGTCTTCCCTTTGGGGTGTGCCACCACATCTTGTTTCTTTTTCCTTTGAGGAGATTGCTCTGGGCAAATTGACTGGCCTGACTGGTCTTGAAGGTGGTAGATACCCCTGTTGGGGCTTTCCTGTCTTCCACATTCTCTTCTGCTGTCTAATTGCTCTTCTAATCACTGGTGTTCTGACTCTCTTCATGCTGTGAAGTGGTACCCTGGACGCCTACTCAACCTCCTCAAGGGCAGCCTGGGCCCTGGGGAGAGAGCAGGCAGGAGACCTGCTCTCGACCTCTTCAAGGCTTGGGTCAGAGCCCCTGAGGACCTGGGGGATCTGCTATGGGTCAGAGGCTCACCTGCCCACCTGAGCTCTTCAATCTGAGCATGGCTTGTCCCCTGGGGTCAGCACCAGCCCTGGGTGTTACTCAGGCACCATTGTGTGGATTTGCACTTCAAGCAGGCGTTCAGAGCCCAGCACTCGGGCCAGGCTGGCCAGCCTTGGTGCACCCGACGTGCTAGCCTTGTCTTAGGTCTGTCTGCAGTAACTCAGCCTGGAGCTGCTGCTGCATCCCAGTACAACTCTGCCCATTCATCTGGGCAGGCCACCACTGCTCCAACACTGCTCGGGTTCAGGAGGGAGTGCCAGACACTGTGAAAATCAGAGTTTGTCCAAGTCAGAGGTGGCAGGTCCCTAGTGTGCTGGCTCTCTTTCTCTGGGACAGTGGTGTATATGAAAGAGGTAATTTTTGGAATGAATGTTGGAGAACATGGCAGAAAGTGAATTTTGAATTTATGGGTCCCTGTGTGAAACGGGCTGAGGAGCAGGGAAGGGCTGCAGGACCACACAGAAAAATGGGAAAGAGAGGAGACATTACTGGTCCTGTTATGGCGATAGGGATAGTGACAGGGAGAGGCAGAAGTGATCAGGTGCCATCAGGTCCAGCTTTTTTGCACCCAAGACTCTGCTTCACTTTGCTGACCAGCTTGGGTCGAGGTGCCAGCATATACCAGGCACACAAGATGACTCATGGCTGGAGGCTGCAAGATGGATGACCAAGTTTCTTCCTAAATTGATGGTGCCTGAGGAAAAGTGGCCAATGTCTCATCACAGGATAATATTCATGCTGTCCTGCTGCAGCTCCGCTCTCCTTGGAGGCCGTTGTTACTCCACGTCTCACTGCAATCTGAACAGACTCTAAGAAGCCATTGCAGAAATTCTCACTGTGGATGTCATCAGAATTGAAGGCAGACCTGGGCTCCAAGCGGATTTTTCCTCCTCAGATACTTTTCCTTGCAAGGACGCAACTTCTCTGAGCAATGAAAAACGTGTCAGGCTGTGTCCAAGGAGAAGAAAGGAAAGACCACACAGCTGCACGGAAAGGAGACCTGGCAAAATGTCCTGCCAAAGAGCAGTCTGAGAGCTCAGGAAGAGGCAAGCTATTCAGTTTGGAAAGCAAGATGCAGAGATCAAACCTGACTGCCTAAGAAGCAACTTGGGAACACGAACCCTTGCATCTGGGGTGCAAAAGGTCAGCTTCCTAGCAGGCATCTGTTGCCATTGTCATAAGATGCTGTGAAATGGAGATCGGAATAGAGCCGTGTCCCGTACCTCATACACGCAGATCAGGGATGCCCAGCTGGGGTGGGACGGGGCCGAGAAGAAGAGGTCAGATGATGTCCCACCAAAGCCTGTCAACCACTATCAGGTCGATATTATTGGCCTGACCACAGGGACTGCTCCCAGGAAAATCCACAGGGCTCTGTGCACCCTGCCGCAGGGTCAAGGCTCCTGAGAGCAGAGGCTGTTGACCCTAAGCACACTGCCTGGAGGAGATGAAACCTCCAGAAGGATGTTTCATGCCCCTGGCTCTTTTGGGGCCAAGCAGCACAAGTGGCTCAGGCAGGAGACAAGAGGAGGAGCAGGCTTTCTGCTCCGGTCTGTTATCTGCAAGGTCAGTGCACGCTGAGCCACTTGCCCCAAGTCCAGGTCTGATACTCGAACCAGCAGCATAGAGACCACCGAGTAGTGAACCCCACTAGTCATGTGTAGGGCCAAGTTATGGGCACCGTGGTCTCCGGCAGCTGCACCTCCCAGGGCCACTTGTGTGCTGCAGAGCCACGAGTTGCCCTCAGCCCTCCCCAGCACCAGGTAAAAGCTGCAGCGTCATCCCATGATCACCATTGCTTCATATCGTCACGCTTTGAGCCAGCACGGGATGTAGAGAGCTTTTTCTTTCTCTTTTGGACAGCAACAGAGTTCCAAAAAGCTGCTCCCTCCTTGCAGGAGGTAAGAAGTTCAGCTGAGACACCTCACTTGCTGTGAACTCTCTTAGGGTGAACAGGATTGTAATGATAATAGTGACGGTAGTAATGCTCATACTCTTAACTGTAACAGTTTGTGTTTATCCAGCGCTTTCCGTACACAACAATTTGTCCTTTACTTCCACAGTAATTCCATGGAAAGCCCAGCACTTAGGCCCTTAGAGATGCGTAGATTGTTTCTGAGTTTAAGGTAAAAATTTCTTGCTGAAGAATTCCCCAGTCCCACAAGGGAAATGCAACTGCATCGCAACAGCTGTGACACCCAGTCTTGCGCTAACCGGTACGGCTTCGCACCGTGACGCTCCCGTGAGAGCTGAGGCACTCTCTCCTGATAGTGGTTTTTGCGAGCTCCAGCGTTATAGAGACCCTTTAGCAAACAGTGGAGGAGGAGGTGGATGTTGGATTGCTTTACTACACGTCATTTTCAACTGTTTATAATATTCTTCTGTGTCTACATATTTTCTCTGTGCACATTATTCATCAGAGTAAAAAAAGGAACTATGAAAACCTCGACCAACTTTCCTATGACAACAAGCGAGGACCCAAGGTATATATGCATGGAAATGCACGCCGCCCACCAACCTAACTAGCAAATGAGAAATAGCCACAGCCACCAGAAAAATTAAAAAAAAAAAAAGAAAATAAAAGAGAAAGAGAAAAAAAGAAAAGAAAAGAAAAGAAAGAAAATAAAAAAGATCCATGACTATGTTTCTTGGTAGCACGTTTTTATGTTGAGATAGCTTGGTTTGGACTTGAGAATGGAAACCTAGCCAGCTGACCCTGGAAGGATTTATTTTTGAAACATGCATGTGAACCAGTAATTAACTTGCAAGTTCTTTTTTTTTTTTTTGAAAAGTTAAACCAACCCCCTTTCCTCCCCAAAGGAAACGGTTCCTTGGTGTAAGTTGCTCACTTTTACTCCCAGAGGTTAACCCTGTGCAATATGTTTTTTTCATTTCCCATGTCTCTGAAAAACAACACTCGTTTGAGTTTTCAATTGCATTTCAAAGCCTTTTTCTCTTTCCTGTACAATGCACGCCTCTTTTTGGGTCTTGATTGACTTCAGTTTGCATGCACAGTGCAAAAAAAAAACCAAAAAGCCAAAACCTTAAAAGAGAAAGGAAGGAAGGAAAGAAAGAAAAGAAAGAAAAGAAAAGAAAAAAGAAAAAAAAATAGCTATAACCAACCTTATTTAGCAGACTTTTGTGCAGTTTAATGAATTCTCTTAACCCTTTTCTAGATAGCATGGCTCTCACAAGCAGTCCTGGGGCTCCCGCACTAACCAGTTTTGCTCACACTGATCACAGGCTGAGAAAGTGCTTCAGTTTGACCCCGGAACCAAAAACGTGACGTCGCTGCTGCTGGAAGCCAAGGAACTGGAGGCTCGCGTCATCATCCTTTCTGCCAGGTAAGGCAGAGCCATTTCTTCCCCTCCCTGCTCCAATTCCCTCACCTGCTCTGATTTCCCACCTTTGCAACGCTGCCCAGCCATGGAGTCAGTGCAATTTTGGGGCACATCATCCTTCCAAGGAGCGTGGGAGAAAACCCACTTAAACCCCCATGTGCTGGGCAGGTGGTGGATGCTGTGCGTGCTGCTGGCCAGGGAGCTTGCAATCAGGAGCAGGGTTGAGATGTCCCCCTGTCCCACAAAGTGCTAGCAGCTGTGGAAGCAGCAATAATTACTGATGATGGATCTGGATCCACCTGTGAAGGAGGGGAATCTTATTGCCCGCATGCCTATAGATGGTGAGCAAGAAGGAAAGGGCCAGATTTGCTGATGCTCAGCAGTGGGGTGCTGTGGGATTAGATGAAGCTGAGAGGAAGGTTCCCATTGTGTCAAGGAATTAGCCATTGCCCAGGAGAACCAGTTATCAGAGGAGGGCTGCCTGGGGGTGTGTTTGCCCTGACGCTGCTGCTCCCTTGGGATCCGATACAGGAGAAAAGGGGCCGTCTAGCACCTGAAGCCACATTGCCATTCCCTTCTTCTCGTTGCAGTGAGGATGATGCGGCCACGGTGTACAGATCAGCAGCCATGCTCAATATGACAGGCTCCGGCTACGTGTGGCTGGTGGGGGAACGGGAGATATCGGGCAATGCCCTGCGTTACGCCCCTGATGGTAGGCACCCGCCGGAGGCACCTGTCCCGCTGCCAGCCATGCTCGGAGGAGCCTGCTTGGAGCTGGGATGAGCAGCACCTGCTCTCCCGGGGAACCCTTGGGCTGGGGGAACGCGATGACGTGGTGGTCAAGCAAGTTGAGGGTCCCACACGTTGCTCTCTTCTCTTTTTGCCCACATGGGGAGGCAGCAGCCTTGGCCACGCTGTTATGTCCCAAATCCAGCTCGCTGTCACCTGTGGGAAAGACTTGGTCAAAAGGATGGGGATGGAGCATGGGGTGTCAGCAGTCCATGTAGCTGTCCCCTGTCCCCCTCCAGCAGCCAGGACTTTCCCTGCCTGCTCCTGCCTGAAGCTCAGACAACTCCCCAGCTGCATCTGAGGGGTCCTCAGCCCCATAACCAGATGCTTGCTGGCCCCCGAGCCCTGCCCGTGGGAGCAACGCCAGAGCAACTGGTGTGCCCTGCTGACATGTCTTCTCCCCTCTGCTCGCGGCAGGAGTGATCGGTTTGCAGCTCATCAATGGGAAGAACGAGTCAGCCCACATCAGCGATGCTGTCGCGGTGGTGGCCCAGGCCGTGCATGACCTGTTTGAGAAGGAGAATATCACAGACCCTCCACGGGGCTGCGTGGGGAACACCAACATCTGGAAGACAGGACCCCTTTTCAAGAGGTATTTGGGGAAGGGTCCTGCTGGAGCAAGTAGAGGACCTGCTGGGGGAGAGCTGGAAAAGGTGGGAGCACATGGAAAAGGGCAGCATGGTAGCTTTGTTCAGAGTATCTGTCACTAAAGCTTTGGGGCATGTGGCACAGGACTGCTTGGACTCTCCTGCATGATTCAGATGTGGGGGCTACATCTCTTCTAGAAAACGAGCCAGGACATGGGCTCAGTTGCTGGCCTCCAGTTTGTCCAGGTGCTTTAGGTGTCATCCTGGTGCCTGGTACCAACTTGGTCCTTGCCAACCCATGGTCTCCTGGGCAATGTTTGGGCAGCTGGGATCAGTGTAGGCAGGGAGCGCTCCAGGAGGAAGAGATCTGGGTGCCATGATCTCTTCTGGTCCAGACCTTATTCTGTGGGTGGAAGAGGGGAGAAAGGGGGTTTTCTGCCAAATCAGGGTAGGGGGACATTTCTTTCAAACTGGAGCTCAGTGCTGCGGACACTTTTCTTGCTGAACATTTCAGGGCTGCAGCCTAGGTCAGCATGCTGCAAGCAGGACTTGGTGGCATGAGATCTCCATGCATGGGACAGGCTGCTCTTGCTGTAGCAAGTACTGGTGCTGTGGTTTTGGGAGGTGGAGTCTCAGCAGATCAGAGCATGCGTGTGCTGGATCTCACTTCCCTGGGCAGTGTGACCGGCACATGCTGCATGCGTTCCCCAGAACCCGGTCTTTGTGCTGCGTGGGGTTTTGTGCTGCATCACGGCAGATGCCGGAGCCACAAGGGCCTCTTCTGCAGGCGGGGTCTCGGTAAAGCAGCGATTCCCTTTGCAACATGGCTCCCTGCGTGGGAGGGCTGCTCTCTGCTGTGTGCAACCTGGCACCAGGGTGTTGCTTTTGTCAGCGGGATCCTGTGCTGGGCCTTTCTCTCTGCAAACGTGGTTGTGGTGACTGTGGGATGCCCTTTCTGCAGATCTGGGTTCTGTTGAGCATGGGACCTGCAAAGCCTGGAGCTTGCTTTAGAAAGATTTCCAGCATCCTCCGCAGTGACGGATTTTGGCATGTGCTGTTTGAAGTTGCCCTCTGTGGTGCACTGCAGGTGGCTCCGGCAATACTTCTGTGTTTTCACTATAGTCTTTGCAGGGTTTGGGGCACTGGTTCTCCCCTTGGTGATGTACGTGTGTGCCTGGGGCGTTAGCCAGGCTGTGATGGGCTGGTGCCAGACAGAAGGACCAGGAGCGGTACAATGGACACATCTGCCAAGGGACCCCCAGAGGAAGGTGTCCTTGGGTGCTGTGGGACAGATGATTTCTTAAAGGAATGGGACTGATCTGGTGAAGAACAGGGGACAAAGACAACAAATACGGTAGTACAACATTCGGGCAATATGAGTCCTCAGACTGACTTCATCCACCAGGAGCAGATGACCACAGGGCTGTGAACAGATCCTAGGTAGCCTTGACTGGGTTTCTACAGTGTAATGGACATATCAGACATGGCAGGCAACTGAGAGACAGCATTTGCTTTTCTGACCCCTTCTTAGAAGTCCCAATGGCCACAGCAGTTTTTCTAGGATGGCCCCGCTGTGTTTCTCTCCATAGGGTGCTGATGTCCTCCAAGTACTCGGAGGGTGTCACCGGCCGGGTGGAATTCAATGAGGATGGGGACCGGAAGTTTGCCAACTACAGCATCATGAACCTGCAGAATCGGAAATTGGTCCAGGTTGGGATTTACAACGGCAGCCATGTACGTACAGGCCTGGACAGGTTGGACAGGAGGGCTGTGTGCACTGGGGTATCTACCAATGGCCTCATGTCTATCTCATTCCTCTGGGATTGATCGCAGGTCTTGACCAATGACCGGAAGATTATCTGGCCAGGGGGAGAAACTGAGAAACCTCAAGGCTATCAGATGTCGACCAAGTTGAAGGTAACAGCAAATGGCATTACAGGGTGGCAGGTGTCCTCAGCACTCTACATGCAGGGCTGTGACTTTATCTGCCTCCCACTTCAGCTGCTGCCTTTGCAGCTGTCAGCAGCATTTGCAAGCCCAGGGCACCTGCCACCTCGGAGAGGATATAGCGGAACAACTTAGAGAAGGTACTGGAGAGTGTTCAGAGCTAGAGTACAACGTCCAGCTGGAGACAAACTAGATAGGGTGGCAGGCATCCTTTGGTTTGGAAAGAGACAGCTGGAAAGGGGATATGAGAGAGAACAGCAGAGAAAAGATGGAGAGATAAGGTGTTCACCATTCCTCATGGCTTGGGAGCCAGAAGGCACCCAGTACAAGTTTGTAGGAAATACAAGGATGGGCTCCTTTGGCCAAGGCATAGTTCGGTTCTGGAGCTTGTTACTGATAGACAGTGCAGAGGCCAGAAGGAAACAGGTTCGAAAGGAGATTAAACAAGCTAGTGGAAGGTGGGTGGGCTGGTGGCTGCAATGTTGGGCTCAGGAAATCCCTGAAGAGCTGACAGCCAGAAGCTGGAGGTGACACTGGGAGAAGGTCCCTTCACCCTTGCTTTGTTTCTCATGCCCTTCCCTTAAGTGTAGCCCAGCAGTCACTTTAGTGATTGGACCCTGGGACGGCCAGTCCTACCAGTATGACCGTTCATTTGTCCTGCTGTCCAGGCAAGGGAAATCACACATTCCCACCAGCAGCAAGCCCTTTCCTGCAGAGGTGGTGTAGATGCATTGGGATGCTGCTTTACTGAAAAGGTCCAGGGCAGGACAGAAATATCTACATTAGCCTGGGGCAGTGTGACAGTGCCTAGAGCACCATTCAGGGCGCTAACCTGGGGCTCTCATCAGCCTGCTGTTAGGGAAAGGGCTGTGAAAGGCTTTGAGGGTGAGGTGAAAGTGCTACACGAAGGAGGATGCTGATATGGCTGTTCCTCACCTTGGGTGCAGGGAAAGCAAATCTTCCCCACACCAAAGCCAGCTCCCACTGCTGGGCTGAGTGGTCTCATGCTGAGATGGCAGCTGACAAGGGCACTACAGCATTTTGGCCATGCTTGTGTGGAGAGGACAGCCCAGCTCCCCGCCCAGGGGAACACAGCTCTGGAGGGGAACAGAGACAAGCGGGTGTTTGTGCTTCACGTTGCAGATCGTGACGATCCACCAAGAGCCCTTTGTCTATGTGAAACCCACGCAAGCAGATGGGACATGCAGGGAGGAATTCACCATCAATGGAGACCCTGTGAAAAAGGTCTTTTGCACTGGACCCAACGAGACCGTCCCAGGTAACTAAGCCTGGGGGGGTGAGTGCAGCGTCTCCCCTAGCCCACGCAGCTGATAAAGACTTGTGTCCCAAGAAGGGGACCCCAGGGAGGGTGCTGTCACACAGGAGGCCCAGAGGATGAGGAGCAGAAAGGTGACAGCACATTGAGCTCCCAAATGACCGCTGTCAGCTCGGCCCCATAGCAGTGCTGTGCAGTAACTGGGCAGTGGGATTCAGGTTCTTGACCCGAACAGATGACTTTCCCACTGTCTCTGTTCTGAGTGGGCTACAGGGCTGTTCTGGGGGTTTGCATCCCATATTTCTGTCTCCTGATGTGCTACATTTCTCTGCCTTGATCTCAAGCAGAAAGTGGGAACCCCAAGGCACTTTAGCACCGGCTGCACTGGTACTAACACCACCAGTTTCAAACCATTTTGTTACGGAAAGCCTGCTTCAGGATTAGGAGTGTGCAGCTGATGGGGTGTGAGCTGCTTAGCGATGCCAGGCTTGCCCAAATCCACCCGAAGTCCACCCCCTTGGCCCATCACGCTTTCCTCTGCACAACTGCCCTCCCCAGCCCCGAGCTGTGTCCTGGGCTGTGTTTGATCTGATGGGTTCATGTTCGCACTCCTCCAGCACAGCCTGCATGCACCAAGCCCCCTCTGTCCCCTGCAATGGGTCGGTAACAGCAGCTCTCACCCCACCTCAATGGGGACGTAGCAATTGCATGAGAGCCCTTTGCCCCCAGTTTGCCTTCTTCCCACACTGGTCCTTCCATCCCACCCGTGGGTGATGGAGGCAGTGGGAGAGGGTGGTCAAAGCGGATGGCCTTGCCTGAATGATGTGGTTACATCTCGTATGACACCAGAACCATGCAGGTGGCTGCTCTCACTGGGGACAGCCATGGATCCTGCGTAGGGTCCCTGCAAAAGCGTTGCCTCCACTTGTCCCCCCATTTTATCCCTCCCGCAGGCCGTCCCACTGTAGCACTGTGCTGCTATGGCTTCTGCATCGACCTGCTCATCCGGCTGGCGGGGGTGATGAACTTCACCTACGAGGTTCACCTGGTGGCTGATGGTAAATTTGGTACCCAAGAACGGGTGAGTCTGGGCAGCTTGTGATAAGTCTTTGCCTGCGTCGTTTGTTGAAACATCCCTGGGCCTTTGTCTGGAGCAGGGGTGGGGTGGGAGGGCAGGGCAGGGTGCCTGCCGCGTGTGTGGGGGTCCTGGCTGGTGGGGCACCAGTGTCAGGGCAGTGGGCTGATCCTGAGCTGGCTCTCTGGCAGGTTAACAACAGCAACAAGAAGGAGTGGAATGGGATGATGGGGGAGCTGCTGAGCGGCCAAGCGGACATGATTGTGGCTCCCCTCACCATCAACAACGAGCGGGCACAGTACATTGAGTTCTCCAAGCCCTTCAAGTACCAGGGCCTCACCATCCTTGTGAAGAAGGTATGGGCTGGGCTGGGCTGTTTTGTAGAACAGGGGAGGTGTCCCCTTGCTCCCCACCTTGCAGATACATGCTATGCCTGCATCATGCCCAGCTTGCTCAGCTGTCCCCTGCCCACCCCAGGGCAGCTGCCACAAATCACAGCCTTTGCTGTGGGATGCTGGCCTCCAAGTTGCTGGTTTTAATGCTGGATATTGACTTGGCCACCCTGACCCTTCCTGTGCAGTAAAGCAGGAGCTCGGAGCAGGGCAGGGGCCCTTGTGGGTCCAGCCAGGCGGACAAGGTGCAGGCATGATGGGTGCCAGTGCCGTCCACCTCTCTCCTGTGTGCTAGGAAATCCCCCGCAGCACCTTGGACTCGTTCATGCAGCCGTTCCAGAGCACGCTTTGGCTGCTGGTGGGGCTGTCTGTGCACGTGGTGGCAGTGATGTTGTACCTCTTAGACCGATTCAGGTGAGTGTGCTTGGGTCACCCACGGGCTGGAGGGGACAGCGAGGTGCCCCTGGGAGCATCTTTCTCAGGCACAGCCCTGCAGCCTTTCAGGAGGCTCTTGCAGGAGCTAAACCCACTTTTTCTGCTCCACCAGCCCTGGGCTGAGGCTCCTGGCCTCTCTGGCTGCTGCTAAGCTCAGAGATATGGATATATGGGGTACCCGACACCTGGATATGTCAGAACTCGCCTGTCAGACTAGGTGCCAACCTGACGCCTGACCAAGGGGACCATCAGCTCCTGGGCTCTGAGATAGTCCCCTTGCTTGACCCCAAGGCAGCTTCTCTGAAGGGCAGGGACCCTGTCCCCCCATTAGCCCTGTGCTCAGAGGATTTTGTGCTTAAACTGCAGTCAGCCCTCCGTGTTGCGGTGCGAGAGGCTGGAGATGGCCTGGATTAGATGATCTTTCTGGCCTGGAGAGAAACGTGGTGGGAACAGTACCAGTGTGAGCTGAACAGGGCTGCGGATCAGCAAGGTGGTGGGCCATGAAGGGTGAAGAGCTGTTTGGGACATAGGCACAGTCTGTAGGGACGAGTGATGTAGGGCTCCGTCGGGACACTTTGGGCACAGCAGAGAGGCCTGGGAACCAGGAGAAGGGATATGAGAAGAGCTCTCTGTCTTGTTTTCCAGCCCATTTGGCCGGTTCAAAGTGAACAGTGAGGAGGAGGAGGAAGATGCCCTGACCCTCTCTGCAGCCATGTGGTTCTCCTGGGGAGTCCTGC